TTGTTTGACACGGGACGGCGGCCTGAGGGCTAGCCGCGGCCGCTGCTTGTCTCTGCAGCTCATATTTGACGCCGTGCTCAAGATCATGTATGCAGCGGTGGTTCCTTGGAGTGCGGCCGTGGAGCAGCTGGTGAGGCAGCACCTGGAAATGGACCACCCCAAGTAAGACGGCGGTTCCCTCGAGCAGAGGGCAGACCTCACGCTTCAAGTTGGCCTTTGCTCAGGTTTTTCTGCCATTTCCCATTTCCCATAGTAGTTCGCCTGCTTAATATCAATGAATTTGCTTTCAGGGTCAAGTTGTTACAGGAAAGTTACAAACTAATGGAGATGAAGAAACTTTTACGAGGCTATGGAATAAGAGAGGTGAATCTCTTAAACAAGGAGATCATGGTAAGTACGAACCCTGTGGGGCCCTTTTCCCCTTTGATGCATTTCTAGGGCCACTCGGGACATCTGATGAGGGTTTTATATTCCACAAAGTTAATAAAGCTTCGTTCTGCACGGCTTTCTCTTTGTGAGAGGTGATTGGGTATTCAGCCGATGAGGGTAGTAAGGACAGCAAATAGCAAATTTAGAAGCTAAAGACAGAAGATAGAACTGTCTTAAGATTCATGTCTAAGTCATGTTTTAATTTTTCATGCAGTTTAATTTTTGCTACATTATTTAAGCTTATGGCTACTTTGCCCTTATGACCGAATGATACAGTCCTCTGAGATTTCAGAACAAAGAAATGTAATAGCATCCTTGTTTCAGAGGGTGATCCGATACATTCTCAAACAAGATGTCCCATCTTCTGTGGAAGATGCATTAAAGGTGGCCCAGGCATTCATGTTGTCTGATGATGAAATCTACAGTCTAAGAATTGTTGACCTGATTGATAGAGACCAGGTATGTATGTTTTGTATCACCGTTTCATATGGCTTCGCTGCTGGTTAAATCCTTAGAAACTGAAACCAGTCAGATGACCCACATGGATTTTCGGACAATAAAGCTGTAACAAGATGAAAACAGGATGTTAAATTGGCCACATTTTTTGGCATGTGGTGGGGTTTGAAAGAGTATTTTGTGGAGCTAGCTGGTGGCAGAGTGGTGAAGGCAGCTGGGTGCCGATGGCTGACTATGGATCAAGTCCAGACCTGTGTCTTGTAAATCATTCTGGGTGCATGTGCATATGTATGTGCCCAGAATCCCAGCAGGGAAATGGAAGAGAAGGGACTGGCGTGGCCCTCCCCCCGGAGGGTGGTTTCTCATTTTCTCTCTCGCTCTTTCTGCTACGTGCCCTATAGCAAAACTTAAAGTATTTTGCGAATAGCTAATAGGCTCATCATACTCCGATAGTTAGCAGAACTTAGATCTGTGTTTTATTTATCTCATAAGGCCCTTTGATAACAGAATAGTGTATGGGTTATCTTTTTTGTATTAATATTTTTAGTTGTCTTTTATATAATTCTGTAACCATAAGCTAATCTTCAGTACCTAGAGTTGTGTTTAAGTTTTTTTCCCTTTAAGAGAAAGGCAAAGAAATAGGAATAGAATTTTTTTAAGATTATTTTATTTAACTTTATTAATTTATTGATTTACTTATTTATTTTAATTTGACCAGAGAGGGACAGAGAGAGAGAGAGAGAAAGCAAGCCGCCAGGTCTGAGATCTGAACCTCAGTCGGCCACGTTGGAGTCCAGCACCCTTAACCACCATGCCACCTGCCGGACCTGGAATAGGTATTTTCGACAGGGTCTTGTGGTCACGGTCGTCCTGCCCTCGCCTTCCACTTAGCTAGGATTATAGGCCCATGTGCAGTTGTGCTTGGCATTGTCATGTTGACCTGGGAGCCAACCCAGGGCTCAGGGAGGTCCCAGCCTCCCAAGGCCACCACGGCTGGCCCTTTGTTTTAAGTTTACTTTGTTGTTAGCTTTCATCACAAATGGAATTTTCAATTTTTTGCAACATTGAACCATAATCTGTTTTTCAAAGTGTTATCTTTCCGTCCTTAAATATAAAAGAGGTCTGGCCCTGAGGGCTAGTGGTTAGGGAGCTGTATCCCACATGGCTGACTGCAGTTCGATTCCTGGCCTCAAGGGCTTGAAAACCATGCCAGGCACATGTGCATGTCTGCCCCAAGTCCTGCCAGGAGGAGAAAGGGAGGAGAAGGGACCATGGGTGACTGTGGTTCGAGTCCCAGACCTGGTGGCTTAAAAAAGACACCAGTTGGGACCAGCAGTTAGCGTAATGGCTATGTTACTGAACTCCCACATAGTCGACCGCAGTTCGCGTCCCGGACCCGGTGGCTTAAACTCACACCCCTGCTTAATATCAATGAATTTGCTTTCAGGGTCAAGTTGTTACAGGAAAGTTACAAACTAATGGAGATGAAGAAACTTTTACGAGGCTATGGAATAAGAGAGGTGAATCTCTTAAACAAGGAGATCATGGTAAGTACGAACCCTGTGGGGCCCTTTTCCCCTTTGATGCATTTCTAGGGCCACTCGGGACATCTGATGAGGGTTTTATATTCCACAAAGTTAATAAAGCTTCGTTCTGCACGGCTTTCTCTTTGTGAGAGGTGATTGGGTATTCAGCCGATGAGGGTAGTAAGGACAGCAAATAGCAAATTTAGAAGCTAAAGACAGAAGATAGAACTGTCTTAAGATTCATGTCTAAGTCATGTTTTAATTTTTCATGCAGTTTAATTTTTGCTACATTATTTAAGCTTATGGCTACTTTGCCCTTATGACCGAATGATACAGTCCTCTGAGATTTCAGAACAAAGAAATGTAATAGCATCCTTGTTTCAGAGGGTGATCCGATACATTCTCAAACAAGATGTCCCATCTTCTGTGGAAGATGCATTAAAGGTGGCCCAGGCATTCATGTTGTCTGATGATGAAATCTACAGTCTAAGAATTGTTGACCTGATTGATAGAGACCAGGTATGTATGTTTTGTATCACCGTTTCATATGGCTTCGCTGCTGGTTAAATCCTTAGAAACTGAAACCAGTCAGATGACCCACATGGATTTTCGGACAATAAAGCTGTAACAAGATGAAAACAGGATGTTAAATTGGCCACATTTTTTGGCATGTGGTGGGGTTTGAAAGAGTATTTTGTGGAGCTAGCTGGTGGCAGAGTGGTGAAGGCAGCTGGGTGCCGATGGCTGACTATGGATCAAGTCCAGACCTGTGTCTTGTAAATCATTCTGGGTGCATGTGCATATGTATGTGCCCAGAATCCCAGCAGGGAAATGGAAGAGAAGGGACTGGCGTGGCCCTCCCCCCGGAGGGTGGTTTCTCATTTTCTCTCTCGCTCTTTCTGCTACGTGCCCTATAGCAAAACTTAAAGTATTTTGCGAATAGCTAATAGGCTCATCATACTCCGATAGTTAGCAGAACTTAGATCTGTGTTTTATTTATCTCATAAGGCCCTTTGATAACAGAATAGTGTATGGGTTATCTTTTTTGTATTAATATTTTTAGTTGTCTTTTATATAATTCTGTAACCATAAGCTAATCTTCAGTACCTAGAGTTGTGTTTAAGTTTTTTTCCCTTTAAGAGAAAGGCAAAGAAATAGGAATAGAATTTTTTTAAGATTATTTTATTTAACTTTATTAATTTATTGATTTACTTATTTATTTTAATTTGACCAGAGAGGGACAGAGAGAGAGAGAGAGAAAGCAAGCCGCCAGGTCTGAGATCTGAACCTCAGTCGGCCACGTTGGAGTCCAGCACCCTTAACCACCATGCCACCTGCCGGACCTGGAATAGGTATTTTCGACAGGGTCTTGTGGTCACGGTCGTCCTGCCCTCGCCTTCCACTTAGCTAGGATTATAGGCCCATGTGCAGTTGTGCTTGGCATTGTCATGTTGACCTGGGAGCCAACCCAGGGCTCAGGGAGGTCCAAGCCTCCCAAGGCCACCACGGCTGGCCCTTTGTTTTAAGTTTACTTTGTTGTTAGCTTTCATCACAAATGGAATTTTCAATTTTTTGCAACATTGAACCATAATCTGTTTTTCAAAGTGTTATCTTTCCGTCCTTAAATATAAAAGAGGTCTGGCCCTGAGGGCTAGTGGTTAGGGAGCTGTATCCCACATGGCTGACTGCAGTTCGATTCCTGGCCTCAAGGGCTTGAAAACCATGCCAGGCACATGTGCATGTCTGCCCCAAGTCCTGCCAGGAGGAGAAAGGGAGGAGAAGGGACTACGGCTTGAGCGTGCTCCACTGAGGAGTGCTTTCTTCCTCCCTCTCTGGCAAGTGCAGAGTGCTATTAAAAAAAAAAAAGAACAGGTAAGTTCAAACCCATCCTTCCAGGAAGCAGCTGACCTTTCTTTCTGTCCAACGCTGTTTTGGTGATAGGGCGAAGACTGTCTCCTCTTGTTGAGGTCTTTGCCTCCTGCCGAAGCTGAGAAAACTGCAGAAAGGGTAATCACATGGGCACGGCTGGCGTTACAAGAAGAACCAGATCATTCTAAAGAGGTGAGATTTTGAGCCAGCCAGTGGTATGGTGGGTAAGGCAGCTGGATCCTACATGGCTGACTGTGGTTCGAGTCCCAGACCTGGTGGCTTAAAAAAGACACCAGTTGGGACCAGCAGTTAGCGTAATGGCTATGTTACTGAACTCCCACATAGTCGACCGCAGTTTGCATCCCGGACCCGGTGGCTTAAACTCACACCGGGCGCGTGTGCGTGCGTGCCCAAGATCCCGAGAGGAGAATGGAGGAGAAGGGATTGCAGTGTGGCCATCCCCCCCTGGGGGTCGATTCCTCACTTTCTGTCTCTCTGTCTCTCTGGTGAGTACACGTGAATGTTAGGTTAAATTCTTCAAGTACATCATCCACCTCATCTTCCAAACACAGTTATGAAGTAGGTCTCATCGTTAGCCCCTTTGTAGGTTAAGCTCAGAAGCTAGTTTTCAGATAAATGGCCTTCCCGCAGTCCTCAGCAGCGGGCGGAGCCTCAGCTTACACTCGGCTCACTCTGCAGTGTGCGCTGTTCTTAGATTTCTACCGCAGGACGTGCACGCTCTCAGGAGAGAGACAGAGAGCGCCAGTGAGACGGAAGCGAGAAGTCACCCCCGGGGGTATGGCCATGCCCAATCCCTTCTCCTCCCTTCTCCTCCTGGGATGTTGGGCACGCGGACACACATACCTGGCATGATTATCAAGCCGCCAGGTCTGGGACTCAAACCACGATCGGCCCTGTTGGAGTGCGGCACTGTAATCATTATGCCAGCTGCTGGCCCCCCCAGTCTGTGTTTTTAACCAGCAGTGTGAATGGCTCCCAATGTGAAAATATTTTTTTATGGACCAAGCTCTTCCTAATTTTTAAGTTTTTAAATTTTTTTCCATGAGAATAAGAGACAGAGAAAAGGCCAGGGGAGACAGGTACCCTCCATAGGGTCTCATGCCACAACCCCCAGCCTTCCTAGCCAGCCAGAACCCTGGGCTCCCACACGGGACACCTGCAGGTCAGCTGGGGAACCGAACCTCTGACCTCCCACTCAGCTCTGGCTTCACTTGAGCAGTGCATGGCCTCCGCTGAGCCGACCTCCTTCCTCAGTTATTTTATGTACATCATGTCTTTTCATTAAAACTCTCTTTTATTTCTCTACTCTTGTTTAATTATTATTTTTAGAAAAAAAATCTTTTTTAATCATCACTGAAAGGTAGCGAATATTGATGAGACTTTTGTTCTTTTTTTCCAGAGACCTTTTTAAATTTTTTTTCCAGTAGGACATGAGTGAAAGGTGCACAAGGGCCCTTTGGTCATAACGTAGGTTATTTGGCGGATTTGCATATTTTGGTGGAGTTTTAAACCCTGTATCCAGGATTTGGCCTTGTCTCACTTGTGATTCGTTCCTGGCTGTCCAGCTCCTGACACAGACCTCTCGTTTCTCTCCCGCCGTTTTCACTGCTCTTTCTGATTCAGTGATTTTGTGTGTGTGTATGTGCCCCACTCAGTTGGTCAATAAAGAAAGTAGATCGTAGTAGGTCATCTGGAAAGTTACAACGAAATTTTTTATGTTTTTCTAAAAATGCGTCATGACTTTCCCAATAACCCTGTGTTTTGCTCTTTTTTAGGACCAAGCGTGGCGAATATCTGTAGCGAAGACCTCCGTGGACATTCTGAAAGTCCTGTGTGACCTTCAGAAAGGTAGTTTCCTCCGCCCCCTCAACTCGGTTCCCCAGCACTCCTCCTCTTCTGACGAGGGCGTCCGGGCAGCGCTCGGCGTCCCCAGGTTTTCTGGCTCTACTTGTCCTTATTGATCTTACCCATTTTTCCTCAAGGAAAGTCCTCCCTTCCCTATTCTTTAAAGCATCGGCAGTGGTAAGGACAGAAGCATGGGGCCAGCCAGTGGCGTGGTGGTTAAGGCAGCTGGATGGTTCAAGTTCCCAACCAGCAACTTGAAATCCATGTGTGCCTAAATCCTAGGAGAATGGAGGAGAAGGGAGTGTGGTGTGGCCATTTCCCCTGTGGGATACTTTCTTACTTTCTCTCTCTCTGTCCCCGCAAAGCGATGTATCCTGTAACAATTTTTAAAAAGAGAGCAAGAGTAAAGCATGTAAACCAGCTTCTCGTGTGTCCGTATTCCAGTGAGCTACTGAGCGCTAGACGAGATTTCTCTGGTCCCTGTACTTACTGTTCATGGTGGTCGGGGAGAAAAATCCCATTTCAACTTGAACTTAGGCGGGCCAGCAGATGGTGCAATGGTTGTCGCTGGACTCCCACGTAGCTGATCGAGGTTCTAGTACTGGACCCGGTGGCTTAAAACTCAAGCCGGGCGCATGTGCGTGTGTATCCGAAATCCCAAGAGAATGAAGGAGAGGGGATTGCAGCATGACCATCTCCCCGGCAGGTGATTTTTTGCTTTCTGTCTGTCTCTCCGGTGAATGCACACAGCCCATAGCAAAAATCTCTGTTTTATTCTAAATAAAACAGGGGGCTGACAGGTGATGTGGTGATTAAGGGCACTGGACTCCCACATGGCTAACCACGGTTCAAGTCCTGGACCTGGCAGCTTGCTTGCTTTCTCTCTTTCTCTCTCTCTCTCTCTCTCATTCTGCCCCTCTCTGATCAAATTAAAATAAATAAATAAATAAAGTTAAATACAGTAATTTCTTTAAAAGCAAAAACTTGAACTTAGGGACCAGAAAATGACATAATGGTTACGTTGTTCGACTCCCACATAGTCGACCATGGTTCAGGTCCCAGACCTGGTGGCTTGAAACTCAAGTCAGGTGTGTCTGTGTGCTTTCCTAAAATCCTGAGAGGAGAGTGCAGGAGAAGGGATTGCAGTGTGGCCGTCTCCCTGAAGGTGATTTCTAGCTCTCTGTCTCTTTTTCTCCATCTCTCTGGCAAGCAGATGCACCCTATAGCAAAAATCTCTCTAAAAAAAGTACTAAACTTGAACTTGAATAAAACAATTAAGAATATAACTTTTAGGGGGAAAGAGATACAGTGTATTTCAGAATAATGGCCATTTCTCTCTCAACCTGTAACTGTAAACTTTTTGCCCCCTCAAGAAGATAATTCTCTTTTTTCAAATTAGATTTCTTTTTTTACTTAAGTTTCTCCTATCACCATCTGAAAAGAACTATAGAAACCTCTCGATAATAGAACCAGAGCTATTTATAAGTTTAACTTTTAAAAATCTTGATAATTTGGACATTTGTATGTTTGCTATAATTTTTAAAACTTTCATTGCAGCTGACGTACAGAAGAAGGATGAATATGAAGAGCTCTTGAAACTGTTTAAAGCGGTGGCCAGCTTGCAGGTAGAGTTTGAGCTGCTCTGTTAGTACCTGGGCCATCAGCGCATTTGGCAGCGACAGTTGGACCCTCCCAGAATTTTCTGTACTGGTCTTCAAGGGAGAACTTGATACATAAAAGTTTGAAAAATAGCAGTGATTTTTCACAGCAGATAAGCTAACCAGACTTGGGGCTTGGTCTTGCTTCCTCTGCTGCAGGAGAACTTCGAGGTCTTCCTCGCATTTGAAGACTATAGCAATAAGTCCCTGGTTGCAGACCTTCGTGAGCAGTACATCAAGGCTCACGAAGACGCGCAGGCCAAGCACAAAGCCAGGAGTGCTCCAGAACCTGCGGCCGCAGAGGCGAAGACCCCGAGCACCGAGTCAAAGCTGCACAGACAGGCGCTGGCCCTGCAGGTGTCCACCCAGGAGCTGGAGGCAGAGCTGACCTTGAGAGCCTTGAAGTACGGGAATGTCACAACAGCCCTGAAGAAATGCAGGTGAGGTGCGGGTCCCTGATTTGCACAGCTTGTCCGACAGTAAAACTTGCTTTGTTCATTTCGTCAGTAATAAGGAAAGGGCCAGTGACGCTTTATTTTTCACAGAAGCCTTTCTTGGTTTTCGCTTTTAGGGCCTAGTTTGGGTCTCTGTGTCAGAAAGCGGCGGCTTGGAAGGCAAGTGACAAGTACCGCAGAGTTTAGTAGCGTAACTGTTGATTTTAGATACACTTTTTTTTATTTAACTTTTAATTGATTTGCTTACTTATTTCAATTGACCAGAGAGGGGCAGAGTGAGAGAGAGAGAGAGTGAGAAAGCAAGCTGCCGCCAGGTCCAGGACTGAAACCGTGTCAGCCACGTGAGAGTCCAGTGTCCTTGGCCACCATGCCATCTCTCAGCTCTGGGCTACCATGTCCTTTGACATTTAGTAATGTTCCATGTCAGGGCTGACGGGTGGCATGGTGGTTGAAGTGCTAGACTCCCACGTGGTCACCTATGGTTCAAGTCCCGGACTTGGCGACTTGCTTCCTCACTTCCCTTTTCTCTCTCTGGTTAAATTGAACAAATTATAATAATAAACTAAATTAAATAATTATTTTTTAAAGAATTATTATTTATTTAATTCCATTTGTTATTATTTAAATTTGACCAGACAGAGAGAGAGAGAAAGGGAAAGTGAGAAACCAAGCCAGCAGGTCCAGGACTCAAACCGTGGTTGGCCCTGTAGGAATCTAGCCCCTTTATCCACTACACCACCTGTCGACTCTAATTAAATAATTCTTTAAAAAGAAAAATGTCCCATGTAATCTGTAAAACAAATACTGTTTTAGTAATTAAAAGACATCTTAAGGGTCAGCAGGTGGTGTAGTGGTTAAGGTGCTGGATTCCCAAATGGCGAACTGCAGTTCAAGTCCTGGACCAGGTGGCTTGAAATCATAAAGACTTAAATAGATAAATAAATAAATCTCAAACATAAAATGGTGCCTTCCTTTGGGGAGAAAAGGAAGAGTTTCTGTATCGATAATCAGGGTTATATATTAATCCAAGCCAGGCAAGTGCACTTGCTTTCAAAACGAGTATTCTACCTTGTAAAACTCCCTTTCCTCCGCAGAGACCTGTTTACGTACCACTGCAACGCCGACACCGGGAAGCTGCTGTTTCTGGCATGTCAGAAGCTTTGTCAGATGTTGGCTAACGACGTCCCAGTGACAGCACCTGCGGGGTTGAACCTTCCTGCCGAGATACACAACCTAGCGTGCCAAGCTGCCACCCTCTGCAGTCCAGGTGACGTGGTTTATAACAGACAGTGCTCTTTATCCTCTGCTTCATTCCAGGCTGCTCCCAAAGGCCATGTCAACAACTGGACATTACAGTTACTGGGCAGGAGAGCGGCTCTCCATTTTACAAAGGGACAATTGTAACAGATTTTTCTTTTAGGATCATTATGGTAAGGTATCGCCAAATATAAACAATGTCATTTCTTTTTTCTTTCTTTCTTTTTTTAGAGAGATTTTGCTATAAGGTGTGTACACTTGCCAGAGAGACAGACAGAAAGGAAAAATCACCCCCTAAGGGGGGATGGCCACATCACAATCCATTCTCTTCCATTTTCTTCTCGAGATTTTGGGCACATATACACACACGCCTAGCATGAGTTTTAAGCCTCTGTGTCCGGGACTTGAACCGCAGTTGACTATGTAGGAATCCAGCAACATAACCATTATGCCATCTGCTGGTCCCAACAATGTTGGCAATACTTACTTTGATAGGATTGGGAAATTCTGTGCTTCCTCATATCTGATCTGTCTGTCTACTCTAGTTTAAGAAAAAGTTTGAACTGCATTATTTAGGGTAGTCAAAACTGTGTGGGAGGCCAGCAGGAGAAGTGGTTGAGGTGCTGGACTCCCACATGGCCAGCCGTGGTTTGCATCCCAGACCGGGCGGCTTGCTTTCTCCCATTCCCCTTCTCTCTCTGGTCAAATTAAAAAATAATAGTAATGGGACTAGCAGATGGCATCATTGTTACGTCGCTTAACTCCCACGTGATCACTGTGATTCGAGTCCCAAACCTGTTGGCCTCAAACTCACGCCAGGTGCTTATACATACATGCCCAAAATTCCAAGAGGAGAATGGAGAAGGGATTGCAGCGTGGCCACCTCCACAGGGGTGATTTCTTGCTTCCTGGCTCTGTCTCTTTCTCTGTTCCTGGCAAGTACATGCACCTTACAGCAAAAATTTCTCTCTAAAAATAATAATAATAATTAAAATTAATTCTTTTAAAAAAAGAATTATTTAACTTTATTTATTTATTTACTTATTTTTAAATTTGACCAGAGAGGAACAGAGCAAGCGGAAGAAAAAGTGAGAAAGCAAGCCACCAGATCTGGGACTTGAACCATGTTTGGCCATGTGGGAGTCCAGTACCCTTAACTACCATGCTACCTACGGGCCCCTAAAATAATTATGAAAAAAACAAGCTATGTGAACCCTTTCTACTTAGTGGGCTTCCTTAGTTAGAATTTTGAATGGTACTTGTAAACGTGTTGTTTCGTTATTCGAAAACATGATGCACGAGTTAATGAGATTTCTCCATTTTATTTCAGATTTTTTACTAGATGCTTTAGAGCTATGTAAATATACTTTAACGGCGGTAGAACTTTCCAGACAATGCCAAATGGATGACTGTGGGATTCTAGTGAAAGTAAGTTATTTTGCGTTTCTTTCCTTTAAGTAAAATCCTTGCCAACCCATGCTGTGCTGCTTTTAAATTGCTCCCATCTTTTACAAAATACTGAGTTTACCTTTCACTTTCTCTTATTCTGGACTGGGAACTACTTACGGGCACAGGCTGTGTGTCTTTCCAGTCACCCTTTTTGGCTTTTCTGCACAGTCTAATCAACATTGAGCCTCCCATGAGCCATCTCTGGACATGTGGGAGTCCCTCTGACAGCATTTCATTGCAGATGACATTTTTAGGGCTGCCCCTGTAGCGTAGACGTTAAGCATTATGCAAAGGGAACCACGTCCCATAGCTGACCTCCCGGCCCCTGTGACTTGATAAATACCCCAGGTGTGTACGTGTGCCCCAAATCCTGAGGGAGGCAGAGATAGAAGAAAAACTATCGTGGCCACACCCCACTGGGGCGCGGGGTGGGGGCTGAGGGCTCTCACTCTTTCTAGTGAGCTCATGCGCCCTCTGGCAACCACAGCAAAATGAATAAATCACACAGCATTCTATGAGCCATAGGCAGAGAAACACAGTCGGTGGTTGTACTTGACTGTGAGGCCATCTGGTGTGCTCTGTGTGGCTCTGCAGTGTACTCAGGTCTGTCTTCTGTGTGCTTTGGTGTTCAGGCTTCGTTTGGAACTCATAAAGATCCATATGAAGAGTGGTCTTACAGCGACTTCTTCAGTGAAGACGGGATTGTTCTTGAGTCACAAATGGTGCTGCCTGTTATTTATGAATTGATTTCCTCGCTTATGCCTCTCACCGGTAAGTCTCCTTTGCCTTGTTATTTTCTATGGATTTCTGCTTTATGCCAACATAAAGGTTGGAAACAAGAACAATATACAATAATAGGGATGAATCTTCCGGGCTTACTTTTAGCCAAAAGAAGAGGTGGTTGATGATTTCGTATACCCAAAGTACAAAAACAGGCTCCACCAAGCAGTGCTATTGGACATCAGAAGTCCACTGGGAGTGGGTGCCGACTGGAAAGGAGTGAGAGATGGCTTGAGAGGTTCTGGATAATGTTTAGTTTCCTGATTGGATGCCGCTATGTTCAGTGTGTTGACATTTATCAAGCTGTGTGTTAATCTGTGCATTTTTTTATATGTATATTTTAACTTTTTTTAAAAGCAGCATTTAATTTAGAACGTTCTCTAATAATAGCACAATATTCTCTTTTTTTTAATTTTTTTTTAAGAATTCTTTTTTAGGGACCAGCAGTTAGCGTAATGGCTATGTCGCTGGACTCCCACGTAGTCGACCGCGGTTCACATCCCGGACCCGGTGGCTTAAAACTCACGCCGGGCACGTGTGCGTGCTTGCCCAAGATCTCGAGAGGAGAATGGAGGAGAAGGGATTGCGGTGTGACCATCCCCCCTGGGGGATGATTTCTCGCTTTCTATCTCTCTGTCTCTCTCTCTCTGTCTGGCGAGCGCACGCACCCTATAGCAAAAACCTTTTTAAAAAAAAAGATTAATAATAAAAAAAGAGAGAGAATTCTTTTTCATTGGGCCAGTTACATTGCCGGACTCCCACATGGCCGACTGCAGTTCTAGCCTGGGAATTGGTGGCTTAAAACTCATGCCAGGCGCAAATGTGTGCATGCCCAAGATCCTGGGAGGAGAATGAAAGAGAGGGGATTGTGGCATGGCCATCCCCCAGGAGGGTGATTTCTCGCTTTCTGTCTGTCTCTCTGTCTGTCTCTGTCTGTCTGGACACCCTAAGGCAAAAAAACCTCTTTAAATAAAAAATTATCTTTTTAATTTATTACTATTTTTTTAACTCACAAGAGAGAGAGAAAGTGAGGCTCCAGGTCTGGGACTTGAACTGGTTAACCATGTGGGAATCAAAGCCTTAACTACCAGACAACCTGCTGGCCCCAGTAGCACAATATTTAAATGTCACTGTGACTTAATTATCCACTGTGATAAATGCATAGAAACAAATATACATGGACTTTTCAAAAACTTTGTGGGGGCCAGTAAGTGGCGTGGTGGTTAAGGGTGCTGGACTACCATATGGCCGACCGCAGTTCAAGTCCCAGACCTGGCGGCTTGCTTTCTAATTCTCTCTCTCTCACACACTCTCACTCTCACTCTGTCCCTCTCTGGTCAAATTAAAATATATAAAATGAATAAAGTTCAATAAAATAATTCTTAAAAAAAAAAGTAGAAAAATAGATTTAAAATACAAATTCATGGGACCAGCAAATGGTGTAATGATTATGTCACTGGACTCCCACGTAGTTGACCACGGTTCAAGTCCCAGACCCAATGGCTTACACCTCACGCTGAGCACATGTGCATCCGTGCCCAAAATCCCAAGAGGAAGGTCGTGTAGAAGGGATTGTGGCATGGCCATCCTCTGTGTGGGGGGGTGATTTCTCACTCTCTGTCTCTCTATCTCTCTCTGTCTCTCCAGCTAGTACATGTGCCCTATAGCAAAAAAATCTCTCAAAAAACTAAACAAAAAAAAAACAAAAACAAATTTATTGGGGCCTGCAAGTGGCATGGTGGTTAAGGTGCTGGACTCCCACATGGCCAATTGAGGTTTGAGCCCCAGAGCTGATGGCTTGAAAACGACTTTGTATTATATGTGCCCTATGACAAAAAAAAAAAAAAAAAAAAAAACCCATAAAAACAAAACAAAAAAAAACAACAATAAAATACAAATTTATTTTGGTGCTAAAAACAGGTTGAGGTCTATGCGTAGTCTTTTTCACAATATACATTCCCATGTGCTGTGTACATGCTTTTAAAAGTGTTAATTAAGGGGCCAACAGGTGGCATGGTGGTTAAGGGTGCTGGACTCCCACATGGCCAACCACAATCTGAGTTCCGGATCTCAGACTCGAGAAAGGTGGCTTGCTTTCTCATTCCGTCTCTCTCGCTCTCTCTCACTCTGTCCCTCTCTGTTCAAATTAAAATAAATAAATAAGTAAAACAATTATTTTTAAGTGTTAATTAATTATTATTCTCCTTTGCAGAAAGTAAAAGACATCCTCTGGATTCCACGAGTTTGCCGTACTGCTCCATCAGTGAAGGTACTTGACCTCCTACAGCATTGTTAGGGCTCTGTACACACAAATACAGAAGGCCCTTGAAATGGGAATCTGACTCAGGGTCCCGAATGTAATTGTCTCGTTATTTCTCTTGCATTGCAATTCTCCCAGAAGTTCAGGAGATTATGTTATGTGGCTGATCATTTTAACTTTTTTAAAAAAGTTATTTTATTTTATTTTGTCATTATTATTTATTTTGACCAGAGAGAGGGAAAGCGAGAAAGCAACCTGCCAGGTCTAGGACTCGAACCAGAGACAGGCATGTGGGAGTCCAATGCCTTAACCACCACGCCACCTGCCAGCCCTGATAGTTTTAACTTTCATGAATCTGTTCATAAAGTTTACTCTTCCAATGGAGAAATGATTTTCATCTGCTAAGGATGAATTAAAATAGGCAGTTTACCCAAATATAAACTTTCTTTGTTGAAAACAGTCTATCAATTAAGATCCTTCCACTCACTAAATCCTTTTATCACTTCATAGGCGACAGCCTTCTTTTGCCTGTTATAAACTCCATCACTGCCCTGCTTCAGAACCTTCAGGAATGCAGCCAGTGGGAGCTGGCCCTAAGATTTGTGGTTGGTTCGTTTGGTACCTGTCTTCAGCAGTCTGTGTCAAACTTCATGAATGTCAGTTTGAGTGAGAAGGTACAGTTTCTAGAACAAATGCTTTGACTTTGAAATAGATATCCATATGCTGACAAATGGGATTGGGAGTTGACTTTTCTGAGTTGTCTGCATGCCAAAGAGACTGAGAGTTTAATAGACATCCATTGAACATCTAAGTTTCAGCTGTAGTTTGAGGTGTTGGCACACCTTTTCATTCTTATTCTTTATAGCAACCCTGAAAATCTCCGTTTTGCCAATGTGGAAATTCAGATGCCGGGAGGTCAGATAATTCCCTCAGGCTTTAGGTTACCGCGATGAGCCCGCACCCTCCGAGTCCAGCGCAGCTCTGACTCGGCCATGGCCATGTTCGGTCAGGAATGTCGGCCTGCCTCCACTTTGTCGATGCAGGAACAATTGTAGTTATTATTTTCCGACAGCATCACTGAAAAATTTCTAGAAGGCTAACTACCTGTTGGTCGACCTTGCTCGGGAAGCTGGGCTTTGTCTTCATTCCCACTTCTCTAGTGATATGTGTTAAATGCTAATTCTTTCTTTTTTAATCAACTTCATTGAGGAATAGCTTTAAAATTAAAATGCACATATTTTAATCAAGCAGTGTAGTCACCTAGTCACCAACACCACAGTCAAGATGTAGAGTTCAAAGTTCCTTTTTGCCTCTTCTCAGCCCAGCCCCAGCCCCAGCCCCTAGCTTGTTTTCGCTATAGATCAGATGCCAATATACTTTGCATAGCATGACGCATGTTCCAAGTTCCTTAGTATTTGAGCAAACTTTCAGAACGGTGCCTAGAAATGGACCTCACGATACTTTCGTTCTTTCCTAAAAGTTATTGGGCGAGACCACATTAATTAAGTCAAGGCACATTGTTATGGAATTGAAGGAAAAAGCCAGCAAGTTCATCAGGGGAACTGCTACGACACTCTTGCACAAAGTAAGTGCTTGTTCTTGGTCAGCTCTGGGTCGTCTCCCTTCTCCCAGCCAGTAGTGTGAGTCAGTAGCTTCTGATTCACTGCAGTGGCGTCCTGCCGCTCACAGCCCCTAGAACTTGCAGGGTAGCTGGACGTCGTGGTCTGTCATCGTGTGTCATACAGCACACCATTGTCAGTGTTCATCCTTGTGATAATTGATCATCTCTTAGGCATTTGTGAAATGATAGTTAATGTTTCATATCTTTACCTCCTGATTTTAGTTATTTATTTTATGGATTAAAATATTCCAGTGATCCTAGCTGTGATTTCTTTCTACATTAGCATTTTTATTCCAGAAATCATCATTTTCCTTTAGCCATTATTTTTGAAAAGGTTCTAATCTTAGTCTCTTTCATCTGAAAGCCTTTGCTATAATCATCTGTTGAGTCAACTTTAAGCTGTAAACTGAATAAATAGCTCGGGAAAGGGAAGGACAGTGAATATGGGGTCCCAGAAGTTTCCTGTAGCGTGTTTTATGGAGGGAGTGACCGGTGGTACCTCGAACATTACTAGTTTAAATAAAACGAAGACTGAAAATTGACCTTTGAGCGTGGCCACTAAGGTCCTCCATGAGCTTTGCAAAAGCAGCTGGTGGCCTGGTGGGTGGAGAGCCTATTTCAGTGGGGCCGAGAGAGCATTGCAGGAGAGAATGTCCCGCAGTCGTTTCCTTTACTGAGAGAAGGAGAACAATAGCAGGAAGAGCCCTGGGACTTTCTGTTTAAGACAGATGACTCCGCAGAGAAGAGCATGACAGGGAGAAGGAAGACTGTCCGGACGAGCCTTTAAGTCCATGGCAGGGGGCGGGATCCAGGGAACCTGTGGGGAACGGGCAGAGGTGGGTGGGGACAGTCGGTGCCTGCCAGGAATGCAGAGCGCATGGGTTCAGGTGCTGGGGCTGGTCCATTTGTCAGCGGGAAGACAAAGTCACTCCCTTTTGGTTGCTCACGATTTCTCAGGGAGGCAGAAAGTGAGGTCGTCGCTAAGAGCGGAGGGGATGTTGGAGACTTGAAGAGAGGATAAATGGATATGCAGGAGAGAAGAACTCTGTGCCTTCTAGAACTTCTTACAGTTGCCTTCCTTAAACTTCTGATAGTGATAAAGCACATTAAACCCAACACATCGGAACCATATTCTTTTGTTTTTCTTTCTTTGGAGAGGTCTTTGCTATAGGGCGCATGTACTTGCCAGAAAGACAGAGACAGAGAGACAGAAGGTGAGAAATCCCCCCCCCCCCATGGGGGATGGCCACGCTGCAATCCCTTCTCCTCCATTCTCCTCTCGGGATCTTGTGCACACACGCACATATACCCAGCATGAGTTTAAGCCACCGGGTCCAGGACTCGAACTGTGGTTGTCCACATGGGAGTCCAGTGATGTAGCCATTACGCCAACTGCTAGTCCTGGGAACTGTATTCTTTTCTAGAATCTTTCACATAACACTTGTTCTTTCATAGCATTTATAATTCAAGTTTGTGACCATTAACCCCGGGAATACTTCCTTCTGTTTCAACTTGAAGAACCTCCTTCTTTTAATGCTTTCTTCCCCCAGGTGTTTAATTGTCGCCTGGTGGATCTCGATCTGGCATTAGGGTACTGCACTCTCTTGCCCCAGAAAGATGTGTTTGAAAATCTCTGGAAGCTGATAGATAAAGCGTGGCAGAATTACGACAAGATATTGGTAAGCCCTAAGGAAGCACGCCTTCAGTTCTTGAAGTATAGGAGAATGGGGAGAAGAAATGAACTGGGTTTTACCATCAGGTTTTATTTTTTTATTTTAATTTTTTGAATTTAACTATTTATTTAGTTTAATTTGACTAGAGAGGGACAGAATGAGAGAGAGAGAGAAAGTGAGAAAGCAAGCTGCCAGGTCCGGGACTCGAACCTCAGTCGGCCATGTGGGATTCCGGCATCCTTAGCCTCCATGCCACCTGCTGGCCCTACCATCGAGTTTTCAATATTTAGCAGAAGAGATGTTGCATGCTCACCTGATTTCTTCTAGCTTTTGCTCAACTACCCACGTGGGGGTGAAAGCATATGCAAGCCGTAAGCATTGCTAAATGCAATAACTTAAGAGTTTTTTTTTTCTTTTTTTTTTAAAAAAAAGATTTATTTATTTTCAATTTATTATCATTACTCTTCCATTTCAATCAGAGAGAGAGAGAGACAGAGAGAAAGGAGAGTGAGAAAGCAAGCCATCAGATCCAGGACTTGAATTGTGGTTGGCCATGTGGGAGGCCAACGCCTCAACCACCATGCCACCTGCCAGCCCCCAAGAATTTTTTTTTTCTTTTAAAGTGTGTCTGCGGCCTTAGAACCTTATATCTTATTCTCATATGTTTGAGACCCTAGACCCATGAGCCAGTTCTATTTTGTAGGACAATTTTAGAGGTGAGAAAAATGTTGCCCTTAGAGGGGATTTTGCTTGCAAGATAACCAGACTTTGACCTTTTCTCATGAGGGTAAGCCATGCTAAACACATGGCCTCATTCAGAAAGCTGAATTATCTCAACGCTGTATACAAAGTAATGACTCTAGAAATCACTAGATAATATCCTACGCTGTAACCCAAAGGAAGGTTATGATTTTTATTGTTGGGTTTCACCTAAAGGATGACAGGATAATTTATTATGTCTGCAGTTTAATTTAATTCTGTTGTTTTTAGGCAATATCTCTCGTGGGCTCTCAGCTGGCCAGTCTCTATCAGGAAGTAGAAATGGGGCTTAAGTTCCGTGAACTCAGTACTGACGCTCTGTGGGGCATTCGCCTCGGCAAACTTGGGGTGAGTGTTCTTCTCACTGCTGTGACGCTTCTCCGTTGTGGTCAGTAGCCGATCGGAAAGGTTAGAACAAAGAGTCCATTACCTTTACTTTGGGGGAGACCGTGTTTGTGCATTTTAGCTAAATCGAGCGTTCATGCTGGTGCTTTCAATGAAATAACGCCTTTCATGTCATTTCCTTTTTGATTATTAGAGGAAATTAAAAGGCCTGGTATTTTCATCTGCTTAGCTTTCCCACTTTCAGGTCTCTTCCTAGTATCAAGCGACAGTTATGCTATACCCGGTCTAGCCTTTAGCCTCGTACTTTTTTTTCCTGCTAGTTACTTGGCTAAGGATAACATTAAAACGTATATACAAGTATACCATGCTTGAGAAATTGCTAGTAAAGAAAAGTATGCAGCCCTTATTCTCTTTTATTATTTTTAAAATGTTATTATTATTATTTTTAATTTGTTACAGGACACCTGTACTCACCAGAGAGAGACGGAGAGAGAGAGGAAAAATAAGAAAGCAAGCTGCTGGTTCCAGACTTAAACCGTGGTCGGCCACGTGGGAGTCCAGCACCTTAACCATCACACCACCTGCTTGCCTCACCCTTATTTTAGTCTAGGTTTTGTTTGTTTTTTTTCTATAGGGTGTATGCACTTGCAGGAGAGAGAGAGAGTGAGGGAAAGCGAGAAATCACCCCTCCCCCAAAGGATAGCTACTCTGCAATCCCTTCTCCTCCAGTCTCCTCTCAGGATCTTGGACACATGTGTGCTGGTGTCTTTTTCTTTTTCTTTCTCTTTTTTTTAAAGAATTATTTTATTTTATTGATTGATTTGAATTGAATTTGCCCAGAGGACAGAGAAGGGGGATGGGAGAAAGTGAGAAACCAAGCCGCCAGATCTGGTACTCAAACCATGATTGGCCACATGGGAGTCCAGCACCCTTAACCACTATGCCACCTGTCGGCCCCCTCTTTTCTTTTTTAAGAGAGAGGTTTTTTGCTATAGGGTGCATGTGCTAGCCAGAGAGACAGAAAGCAAGAAATCACTCTCTGGGGGGATGGCCGTACCTCAATCCCTTCTCCTCTAAGGATTTTAGGCATACATGCAGATGTACCATATGTGTTTTAAGCCACCGGGTCTGGGACTCAAACTGTAGTCGACCACGTGGGAGTCCAGCGATGTAACCATTATGCCATATGCAGATCCCATTTCTGGTATGTTTTTCAAGCTGCCGGGTCCAGGACTCAGAGTTCAGTCAGCCTCATGGAATCTACCGCCTTCACCACCACTTTACCTGCTGATCCCACAGCCCTTACTTTTGACTTTGCCAAGAAAAAAAATGGATAAAACTCTATTTTCTTTACCAGAAATATAAAACTTTTTATTTTATTTGCAAAGAGTTGATTTATCAGGAAGGTAACCACTACAGAAACGGCATAGATTTTGAACCCTGATTCCTATGGGACTGGTGTTCCACTGACACTAGCAACCATGCTTAATGGTGATGAAGCAGGGGATGGATGGGCCAAGAGGGCTTTTTGGACCTGTACCCAGATACACTTCTGATCTCAGAATGGTGCTTGAGTAGGGCAATATGATAAAAATATAAGTTGGACAAGCTAGGACCAGCAGTTGGTGTAATGGCTATGTCGCTGGACTCCCATGTACTCGATCGTGTTTCAAGTCCCAGACTCGGTGGCTTAAACTCACGCCGGACGCATGTGTGCATGCCCAAGATCCCGAGAGGAGAATGGAAGAGAAGGGATTGCGGCGTGGCCATCCCCACGGGGGGTAATTTCTCACTTTCTGTCTCTCTGTCTCTTTCTGGTGAGCACACGCACCCTATAGCAAAAAAATCTCTCCAAAAAAAAAAAATTGGAGACGATATAGAAAAATATTTCTTTATTAAAAAGGATAGTGAAAAGATAAGTCATAAGATCACCTTTGTTCTGATGCATTTCAGTTTAGAGGGTTTTTTGGTTCTGTTCTTTTTATTCTCAGATTTCTTTTCAACCAGTTTTCAGACAACATTTTCTCACCAAGAAAGACCTCATTAAAGCTCTTGTAGAGAATGTAGATATGGACACAAGCCTCATTCTGGAATATTGCAGGTAACTCTTTAAGCATTAAAGGTACTTTTGCAAATAACTTAACAAACGTGTAAACTTTACTGCAAGGTCCCCAGAATAGAGCTGATTACTACCTTGTAAGGTGCCCATGGACCTCTGATGTCTTACTTTGCTCACCTCCAGCTGAGTAAATCCAAAGGTTAAATCCTCTTACAATACTGTCTTTTAATTCACTGTGGGAGGGAACCAGCAGGTGGCATAATGGTTGCATCGCTGGACTCCCACATAGTCGACCACAGTTCGAGCTTGGGACCTGGTGGCTTAAACTTCACACCAGTTGTGTGTGCGTGTGTGCGTGCCCAAAATCCCAAGAGGAGCATGGAGGAGAAGGGACTGTGGTGTGGCCATAGCCCCTGGGGGGTGACTTCTTGCTTTCTGACTTTCTGTCTCTCTCTGTCTCTCTGGTGAGCACATACACCCTCTAGCAAAAATCTCTCAAAAAATAAATAAATAAATAAACTCACTATTTTGTGTTCCCCTGTCTTGCCTATGATACATGCTACCTAGGGCACTTGATTAAAAATACAGGCCTCCGGGGCTGGACTGTGGCTCAGGTAAAACACTCATGTGAGGCGAACCCATGTGAGGAAGCTCCGGTTCACGTCTGGACCTCAGCCTGGTGTACAGAGCAGTCAGGTGCTACATGGGAGTCCCACGGTGTAGCCATTTCGCCGTCTGCTGGTCCTCAGTCTTTTTTATTACGTTATTTTTTAGTTTTTTTCTTTTTTTCAAACAGAGAAAGAGCGTCAGGGACCCCTGGCAGGGTTTCACCATGCCATGAAGGTCCCCAATTACCCTCAGCCTTCCAGCAGGATCAGCGTGTGCTTGGCATATCTGGACTGCCCCAGGATCCTGACCTCAGCCTTCCCATGTGGCCCCAGGGCTGCACAGTGGTGCCCTGCCTCCTGTACCACCACAGCCAGGACTTTCCCCGCCTAATGAATAGGGCCTAAGGGGCATTTCAGTTGTCACTTCATCAAGTCGGATTCCCACTTATTTTTTTTTTCAGCTTAGCTGGAACATACTAAAATCCAAGTCCCACTTAATCCCAGTGCTTAGAGATAATCACTGTTAAAAGTATGGCCTGGGGACCAGCAGGTGGTGTGGTGGTTAAGTTGGTGGACACTCCCACGTGGCTGACCGTGGTTCGAGTCCTGCACCTGGCAGCTTGCCTTCTCATTTTCCCCCCTCTCTCACTCTGTCTCTCTCTGATCAGGTTTAAATAAATAAAGTTAAATAAAATAATTCTTAAAGACAAAGAGCAGTCTCCAGTTGTTAAAAGGCAGTGATGAGCGTTGGTAACAGTTGAGGAGGTTAAATTTCAGCAGTGGGAGCCTATGCCTAAGTACTGGTCAGAAGCCATGTGAGCAGGTGCACGCGTTTAGGGTGACTGAAGGGTGACTGAGCCTCTCTTCCAGCACGTTTCAGCTGGACTGTGACGCGGCTCTCCAGCTGTTCATCGAAACACTGCTCCAGAACACGAGCGGCAGCCAAGGCCAGGGAGACGCAGGCGCAGAGCCCACCAAGCAGCGGCATCCCAGACTCTTGGCCAAAGCCGTGGAGATGGTTCCTTTGCTGACGAGCACCAAAGACCTGGTCGTCAGTCTCAGTGGGATACTGCATAAGGTAGGCGAGCCGCGGAGGGCATCTCAGACCTGTCTCTGTCTCTTTCATGGAGAAAGTAAATAAATAGAATGAATAGAAAGGGTAAGTGGGCCAGCCCCGTAGCACAGTGGATTAGCACAGCGCACTGGAAGCCGGGTCCCACATGGCCAGCCATGGTTCGAGCCCAGCCCATGACCTGAAAAACACACGGAGTACAGGTGCACGCGTGCCCACAGTCCTGACAGGAAGCAGAGAAAAGGATGGGGCACAACCATGTCCCATTTGGGGGGTTGTTTTCTTTCAATCTCTCTCTCTCTCTTTCCTCAGGAAATACCCTCTGCAAACTAAAGGGAAAAAATGATTTAAAAAGGCACATATGTCATTAGATTGAATGTGTAAATTTTTTTGAGACATTTTTGTTATAGGTGCATGCACTTGCCAGAGAGATAGAAAACGAGAAATCACCACCTGGGGGAATGGCCGTGCTGCGATCCCTTCTCCTCTTGGAAATTTCTGCACACATGCCTGGCATGAGCTTTAAGCTGCTGATTCCGGGACTCAAACCGTAGTTGACTGTGAGGAAGTCTAGCAACATAACCATTATGCCCTCTGCTGGTCCCCCTATTTTTTTAATGAACTTTTAATTTTGAAATAATTCTAGATTTGTTTTCAATGTAGTTTAATACAACGATTTTCTTGTCTGCCTTTTTTTCCAAATATTGAGTTGTTGAAAAAGTTATGGCAAACTTTTGCTTAGAAAAACAGAAAAATAAGTCATGACTTTTCTGACAACTTAATAGAAATAGCTTTTTAAATTTTTTTTAGGTTTTTGAAAATACTGTATGTTCCGGACCAGCAGTTGGTATAATGGCTATGTCGCTGGACTCCCACGTAGTCGACCATGGTTCAAGTCCCATACCCAGTGGCTTAAACTCACGCCGGACACGTGTGCGTGCGTGCCCAAGATCCCAAGAGAAGAATGGAGAAGGGATTGTGGTGTGGCCATCCCTCTTGGGTGATTTCTTGCTTTCTGTCTCTCTGTCTCTCTCTGTCTTTCTGGTGAACGCACATGCCCTATAGCAAAAACCTCTCCCCCCCCCAAAAAATATGTTCTTTGAAAAAGGAAGATGGAGGGAAATTGCCCTCCAAGCCTACTCTCTAGAGGTAGAAATGCTCATCGTTTCCCTTAATGACTTTTCTATACCAAATGTAGCGTCCTTTGGTGTAGTGACCATCCTACACTAACTGTTCTATCCTATACGCTCTTTTTTTTAACTTAACTCACTGTCGATACATATACATCAGTCTTTTCTTTTTTTCTTTTTCGCGAAGGTTTTTGCTATAGGGCATGTGATCTCACCAGAGAGACAGAGAGACAGAAAGTGAGAAATCACCCCCAGCGGGGATGGCCACACCACAGTCCGTTCTCCATTCTCCTCTGGGGATCTTGGGCATGCACACACATGCACCCGGCGTGAGTTTAAGCTGCTGGGCCCGAGACTCCAACCGTAGTCAACTACATGGGAGTCCAGCAACATAGCCATTACACCAACTGCTGGTCCCAGATCTCATTTTTTTTTTTTTAAGAATTATTCTATTGGGGTCAGCAGGTGGCGTGGTGGTTAAGGGCGCTGGACTCATACATAACTGACTTTGGTTCGAGTCCCAGGCCTGGTGGCTTGCTTTCTCACTTTCCTTCTCCCACCTCCCCTCTCTTACTGTCTCTCTCTGGTCTAATTTAAATAAATAAATAGGATGATTCTTTATTATTATTATTATTATTATTATTCTATTTAACTTTTATTTATTTATTTACTTATTTATTTTCATCTGACCAGAGTGAGAGAGAGAGGTGGGAGGATTAAGAAAGCAAGAAGCCAGGTCTGGTACTCGAACCATGGTTGGGCATGTGGGAATCCAGTGCCCTTAACCGCCGTACCATCTGCTAGCCCCAGAAGACATCTTTTTTCAAATAGAAGGCTATTTTATCTACTAACTTGAAAATCTTCTGTTTAGTGTAGCCACTTTCATCAATTATTCTATCTAGATCTAGTTAACCTGCTGCAGTTTTAGCATGTGCTGCTTCACCTTGCACTATTTCTTTTTTTTTTTTTTCAATGAGAAATCACCCCCTCCCTCCTCCTCAGTTCTCCCTGTGAGATTTTGGGCATGCATGCACATGTGCCCAATGTGAGTCTCAAGCCGCCAGATCTGGGACTCAAACCACGGTTGCCCGTGCAGGAGTCCAGCACTTAATAACCAGTACGTACGCCACCTCCTAGCTCCGAGAACCGGAATTTCTAGGTCAGGAGGTAGTTTGATGGGGAAATGAAGGTGGATAGCCAGAGAAATAAGATTTGAGACTGCAAGTTTTATACTTTGCTTGTATTTCAGCTGAAAATGATGCAACTCACTCAAATTTTTTAGGAACAGTAGATCGTCTTCCCACTTCGTTCAGTGTTAATCCTGTGACTCTAGTTGGCATTTAAAAAAATAATAGAAAAAAGGAATGGTATGTGGGCAGAAGCAAAGAACAAAGAAAATCCTTCTTTTTAAGATAGGTACATACCGATGCCACACAATTAATTCTCGTTTTGTCACGTACAATCAGAGCTAAAACAATACTCCCAGAAACTTCGGCTTGGAGGCCCAGTTTTAGTTACTTCATTTTTAAGACAATGTCAGTTTGTTCCTGTTCTCATTATCACTTCATAAATAGAACAGGACTTTAATTTTAAAATCTTGTAAAATTATGAAAGAAAACATTTTAAGTGTCTTTTATTTCTTCTGACAGAGACAGGCAGCACCCCCAGCAGGGTAGGTTTCATGCCCTGTCCTACCCCCAACCTCGGCTGGCCCAAATAACTCGTGCACAGGAAGCACACAGCGACGCAAGGTGGGAACGCAGGATGCGAACCCAGGACTTTCTTATGTGGCCTCAGGGTCACAGAGTGCTAACGTTATCACTGTACCATTGCAGCTGAGCTACCATATGTTTATTCTATGCTTTTAGTACCCTAAGAATGTCTTTCTTGGGACCAGCAGTTAGTGTGATGGCTATGTCGTGGAACTCCCATGTAGTCGACCACAGTTCGAGTCCCGGACCCGGTGGCTTATGCTCACACCAGGCACGTGTGCGTGCGTGCCCAAGATCCTGAGAGGAGAATGGAGGAGAAGGGATTGCGGCATGGCCATCCTCCCTGGGGAAAATCCTTCTTTTTAAGATAGGTACATACCGATGCCACACAATTAATTCTCGTTTTGTCACGTACAATCAGAGCTAAAACAGAATACTCCCAGAAACTTCGGCTTGGAGGCCCAGTTTTAGTTACTTCATTTTTAAGACAATGTCAGTTTGTTCCTGTTCTCATTATCACTTCATAAATAGAACAGGACTTTAATTTTAAAATCTTGTAAAATTATGAAAGAAAACATTTTAAGTGTCTTTTATTTCTTCTGACAGAGACAGGCAGCACCCCCAGCAGGGTAGGTTTCATGCCCTGTCCTACCCCCAACCTCGGCTGGCCCAAATAACTCGTGCACAGGAAGCACACAGCGACGCAAGGTGGGAACGCAGGATGCGAACCCAGGACTTTCTTATGTGTCCTCAGGGTCACAGAGTGCTAACGTTACCACTGTACCATTGCAGCTGAGCTACCATATGTTTATTCTACGCTTTTAGTACCCTAAGAATGTCTTTCTTGGGACCAGCAGTTAGTGTGATGGCTATGATGTGGAACTCCCATGTAGTCGACCACAGTTCGAGTCCCGGACCCGGTGTCTTATGCTCACACCAGGCACGTGTGCGTGCGTGCCCAAGATCCTGAGAGGAGAATGGAGGAGAAGGGATTGCGGCATGGCCATCCTCCCTGGGGGGTGATTTCTCACTTTCTGTCTCTGTCTCTCTCTGTCTTTCTGGCAAGCACACGTGCCCTATAGCAAAAACCTCTCCAAAAAAAATGTCTTTCTTTATTAAAAGAGGTTTACCTTCTGGGTCAGCCCCGTAGCACCGCAGTTAAGTCGTATGCAGAGGGACGGATCCTACATGGCTAATTTTAATCCTGACCAGAGGCTTAAAAAACAGCAGGTACATGTGCCTGCTTGCCCAAGTCCTAACAGGATGGAGACGTGGAGGAACTGTGGGGTTACCCCGGTGGGGTGCCTGCTCTCTTTCTCTCTCCAGTCATGCGCCGTCTGGCAATGAAAAGATGTGTATACTGCCTTGGGCAGCTTTTCATACATGTTCAGGCATACACGTTTGTAACAGGTCATTTTAGAGGTGAGGACATTTCAGCTGAGTTTTGAAAGCGTACGTAACATCGTAGTGCACCGGGATACTTTATATCTGTAATCTGAAGTGGTGGACATGATTGAGTAAAACTGGCTACCAGCACGGCACTGTCTCCTCAACGTGCAATGTGTTTTTGTTTTTATGCAGTTGGATCCTTATGATTATGAAATGATCGAAGTTGTCCTGAAAGTTATAGAGCGAGCTGATGAGAAGATAACGAATATTAATATTAATCAGGTATAATAAATATGTTAAACATTTTGAACGTAATCTTATGCTTCTATTTGGATCATAGATAATATAGTTATTCAATGTCTTTTTGGATTATCCTTTTGGCTCACTTTAAATTCTTTTATTCTTTAAAAGGAATATGAGAGTAGGAAGATTTTTATGCCATCCACATCTTATCACATACTTTCATCCTATCGTCCACTGGGCCAGCGGGTTGCGTAGTGGTTAGGGCGCTGGACCACCTACATGGTTGACCACGGTTTGAGTCCCAGACCTGGTAGTTAGAAAACTCACACCTGGTGTGTGTGCGTGCCCAAAATCCTAAGAGGAGAATAGAGGAAAAGAGATTGCAGCATGGCCATCCCTATAGGGAGTGATTTCTCACGTTCCCTCTCACTGTCTCTCTATCTCTCCCGTGAGGGCACACGCCCTATGGCAAACATTTTTAAAAAAAAATCTGCTGTCCCAAATTACAGTCATTTGTAAAGGACTAATTGTGAGGAAGAAGGCAACAGTGTTTGCCATTGAGCAACAAAAAAGGACATGGGTCCCAGCATTCCTTTCCGCTTCATGTGTTAATTGGCAGGCCCAGAGCTTACTTAATTCTCTGTACTTTATTTAGATAACTTCTTAATCATTTCTGAATTTTAGTCATAATAGGTTTTATATTGTTTAATTGGACTTTACAAATGAAAAGAACAGGGGTTGATTCAAAAGGATATATAAGCCCCCTCAATATAAAACATAAACATAAGCATGATAATAGGATATAGAGAATTCATTTCAGATCTACAGTGTCTGTATTTATGAAATCCAATATATATACTTTTTAAAGATTCATTTTATTTATTTATTTATTTATTTTAATTTGCTATGGGGCACAGGGGCACATGCGTTCATCAGAGAGAGAGAAGGAGTGAAAGTGAGTCACCAAGTCCAGGACTTGAACCACCATCGGCCATGTGGAAGTCCAGTACTGTAACCACCATGCCCCCTGCTGACCCTGAAATCCAGTATTTTTTTGGAGAGGTTTTTGCTATAGGACGTGTGCGCTCATCAGGAAGACAGAGAGAGACAGAGAGACAGAAAGCTAGAAATCACTCTCCAGGGGGGATGGCCACACCACAATCCCTTCTCCTCTCGGGATCTTGAGCACACACGCACGCACGCATGCCTGCCTGGTATGATGAGTTTAAGCCACCAAGTCCGGGACTTGAACCATAGTGGACTATATGGGAGTCCAGCAACATAGCCATTACGCCAACTGCTGGTCTCAGAAATCCAGTATATTTTTGATGTATACTGCACACTATTAGAAGAGCATGTAGAGGACTACCCAACTCTGGTTTACGAAACATCCGACCAGTAGCAGGTCACCACTGTTTGTTCCAGACCGATTTCCTCAGTGATCCTTTAGAAGGATAGCTGTAGAGGGAAAACTAGAGATGGTTTGGTCATGTTTATGAAAGCAGGATGGTCTCAGGAGTGGAAGTGTGTCATAGTATAGAATTAGATCGTTTTCTAAAACTGTGTAGGATTGAAAGCTCTTACAGGAACAGTTTTTTTCATTTTAATATAGGCGTTGAGTATCCTGAAACATTTGAAGTCATACAAAAGAATTTCTCCTCCGGTGGACCTCGAATATCAGTACATGCTGGAACATGTAATAACTCTGCCATCCACTGCCCAGACTAGACTGCCTTTTCACCTGATATTCTTTGGCACAGCACAGAACTTCTGGAAAATTCTCTGTATGTTCATTAACTTCTTCCAAACTTTACTGACTAGCCCAAATTTTGTCTGAAGAAAATCATGCTCTTGTTTTCTTTCTAGCTACAGAACTCAGTGAAGAGTCTTTCCCAACTTTGTTGTTAATTTCTAAGTTAATGAAGGTAATGAGTTCCAACTTTCTTTCTCGTGTGTGTCTGTGCGTGTGCCTTCGCGTGTGTGCGTGTGCCCTCGCATGTGTGCTTGTGGTGTTTTAGATAGGGTCTCACTGTTGCGACCCGCCTGCTTCAGCCTCCCCGATAGCTGAGACCACAGGCATGCTCAGCTTTGTAAGTAAGCTGGTAATCGAACCTGGGCCTCCCACGTGGCCTCAGCCTCCCAAGCAGCAGTATCCAGTGTTGGTTATTGTGGCCAGGCCGATGGTTCCGGTTGTAAGACACTTCTTTCTCCTATATTGATTCTGACCCTGCGTAGAAGGCCTCGATGCTGCTTTCATGCAACACCTTAAAGGAAAATGTCTAAGCCAGCCTTAACTTCCCTTTCCTTTGAAGTTCTCTCTGGACACCTTGTACGTGTCCACAGCCAAGCACGTTTTTGAAAAAAAGCTGAAGCCGAAGCTCCTGAAGTCGACACAAGCCAAGTCGTCAACCCTGATGAACAAGGAGATCACCAAGCTCACTCAGACCATCGAATCCTACCTGCTGTCCATCGTTAACCCAGAGTGGGCCGTCGCCATTGCCATCAGTCTGGCCCAGGATGTCCCTGAAGGTACTCGCCTTCTCTTTAACTGGGCTTACCGTGGTGGGCTGCGTGGTTCTCTGACATTGCAGTAAATGAATGCACTCCTTTCCTGTCACGGAGGAGCGGCAGTACGGGAGTTTTCATGTGTGTGTCCGCTCTCTGCACTTGCGTTGCTGAACATGAAAAGGCTTGTGTGTCAGGCCAGCTGCTGGACTCCCAGGTGGCTAGTTCTGGTTCAAGTCCCAGGCGTGGTGGCTTGCTTTCCACTTTCTCTCTCTCCCCCTCTCTGGTGAATCTGACTAAAGAAAGAAAAAATAGGGCACATTCACAGAATGGAGTACTACATGGCAGCTTTGGGGAGATAGCCAAGCTGTAACGTGAAAAAGCAAATTATACTGGCGTTTGTGTGACAGTATCCTGTGTGGGTTAAAACGCAGATACTCAAGTGTGTGTACAAAGAAAACATCCGGAACGTAAGAACCTAGGACTTAGGAGTGGAAACTGGTGGAGGGCCTCTGTGGACGTTTTCTTTTTGTTTCGTATCCTTCTGTCTTATCTGTTTCCTACTATGAGTGTTCATTTTCATAATTTAGAAAGCTTGCAGGGGTAGGGGAGTGGCCCCGGGTTCAGGGCTGTGGTACGTGGGGCCTCTGTCATGGTGGCTACAGGGCTACGACAAGCTACTGAAGTTCCCGTGGGAGCGAAGTAACAGTTCATAAGAACAAGACAGAGAGAGGAGAAAACACGGTGGTCGTGAAGGCCCCGATGCCATCTATGTCAGACCAGCGTCTTCAGATGGTCAAGCATTTACTGTAAAAAGAGAACGTGGCAGACGTCAGGGACAATAAAAGCCGTGTCGAGTGGCCCGGGGCAGTGTGCTAAGAGTGACGCCGACGAGGTCACCTTCAGAAGATCCCCTCACGTGTGCTCAGAAGAGTGCGCATTTTACCGACAGGGTCTGCTGTGCACAGCTCCACCGAGATTCCGCATTCCCAGGGCACCTGAGGTTGCACTGGGACTGTTGATGTCTGTGAACTTCCTAGATTTTACATAAAACAAAGTGTCCGATGGCTGCGAACTTCCTAGATTTTACATAAAACAAAGTGTAATGAACTGTTAAAAAAAGCTTGCTAACTTGACTGTTGTACAATGTCTTGAAAGGATTAAGATTTGCTTACAAATGTTTTCTTTATCTTCTTAGGATCCTTCAAGATGTCTAGTTTGAAATTCTGCCTGTACTTGGCTGAAAGATGGCTAGCGAATATCCCAGCACAGGTATGTCTGAGTTGTAAAACCGAAGGCTCCTCTATCTTTTCATTTAAATTGTGCTTGGTTAGCATACTGGCTTATACTGGACCAGGCCGAAAAATGGAGAGAGACCGGAGTTTTCTGTAGATGCTTAAGGATCTGACTCAGGAAGGGAAGGACCATGGCTGATTATGATGGGTTCTTTTTTTCTTCTCCTCCTCCTCCTCCTCCTCGTTTGCACAATCGTTAGAGGGAGACAGAGAGGGAGTGACCACCATCTCCCCCACTTCCTACCTCCACAGTGAGGTGCAGTCATTCCCAAATCTCTTCACTTCCATCTCTACATTTTCTGGGTCTTGAGCACACACACACATTCCACGGTGTGTGTGTGCCCAAAATTCAAGCCACAGGGGCCAGAATTCAAACTGTAGCCAGCCACGTGGGATCCAACACCCTTAACTACTAGGCCACGGAGCCAGCCCAAGATAGTCTTATTAAAAACATGTACACAGGGGCTGGCAAGTGGCATGGTGGTTAAGGCACTGGATTCCCACATGGTCAACTGTGATTTAAGTCCTGGGCCTGGCAGCTTGCTTTCTCACTTACCCTCTGTGTCTCTTTCTGATCAAAATTTTTCTTTTAAAGAATTATTTTATTTAACTTTATTATTGTTATTATTTTAAAGAACTATTTATTTATTATCATTATTTTTCCATTTTGACCAGAGAGCAGCAGAGAAAGAGAGCAAGCCGCGAGGTCTGGGACTCGAACCGCAGTTGGCCATGTGGGAGCCCTGCGCCCCTAACTATCATGCCACCTGCCATCTCATTTATTATTATTAATATTTCCAGAGAGAGAGAAAGAGGGAAAGCGTGAAAGCAAGCCTCCAGGTCCAGAACTTGAACCACGGTTGGCCATGTGAGAGTCCAACGCCCTTAACCACCATGCCACCTACTACTGTCCCCCCAAATAATTTTTTTTAGAGAGAGAGATTTTTTGCTATATGTGCTCACTGGAGAGACAGAGAGACAGAAGGTGAGGAATCACCTCCCCTCCCCAGAGGGTATGGCCAAGCTGCCATCCCATCTCCTCCATTCTCCTCTTGGGGTCTTGGGCATACACACACACACACACTCTTGGTGTGAGTTTTAAGTTCCTGGATCTGGGGCTTGAACTGTAGTTGACTACATGGGAGTCCAGTAACATAACCATTATGCCATCTGCTGGTCCCTCTTCCTTGTCATATTTAAAATAATAATAATAAATAAAATAATTATTAAAAAAATACGTACACAATCAAAAACATAAAAAATGTGCTGGGCACGTGTGTATGTCCAAAATCCTACCAAGAAAGAGGGATAGAGGAAAGAGGATTGTGGTACGACCCCGCCCCATGGGGGGGTTGCTTTCTTTCCGATTTTTCCTTCCTAGTGAGCACACGCACCCTCTGGGATGGATTCTTAACCTCGATTGAGATTTATAAAACACAGTTTTCTTTTTTCTTGGAATTTTGTAAAAGGATGAAACTCGTGAAAAAGCCGAAGCTCTGTTGAAGAAGCTTCACGTTCAGTACCGGCGGGCAGGGACCGAGGGTGGGGCCCTAGCCCCCAAGCTCTGCAGACCACTTGCGCATGATCGGGAAGCCGGCACACCTCATCGTCCGTCTGTACGAGCACCCGAGTGTAAACGAACGCATCCAGAACTCGTCTGGCAAAGATCATCCCGGTGAGGACAAGAACAGCGCGCTCCACTTTTTATCTGAGAACTATCATTTTTGATTCCCTTGTTATCTTACATTGAAAACTTGAGTGTTTCTTTCTTTAAACACTTTTTGCCTTGAATGTCTTAGATATTCACGCAGCAGCTAAAGAAATCGCCGACATCAATGAAATCAACTTGGAAAAAGTGTGGGGCATGTTGATGGAGAAATGGCTTTGCCCTTCCACAAAGCCTGGCGAAGTAAGTCCCCATCCACCCCGAAGGCCACGTGGTTCCCTGTGACCATCCAGCGAAATGTTTGTCCCCTTCAGTCCCGTCTTCTAATTAGGAGCACATGCTCTTCAAAAGAACTTTTGTTTATTTTAATTCTCTGTTATCTGGGGCCAACAGTGGCGTGGTGGTTAAGGCACTGGCCATTCCCACATGATCAACCACGGTTCGAGTCCTGGACCTGGTGGCTTGGTTTCTCACTTTCCTTCTCTCTATGTGTCTTAATTTCTCTGTTCAAATTAAGATAAATGAATGAATAACTAAAAAAAAAAAATAGATAATTCTTTTTTAAAAATACTTGGTTATCTGATGAGTTTTACTGAAATCGTTTACTTTTTCTTTCTGTTTAAATGTTGTTTTGTAGCTATTTTACCTTGTAACTGACAATTTTAGAAGCATTCTTGTGTAAAAGAAGTGGCCCGTTCAGACTCACGTGATTAACTTTATCATGAGATCTTTTTTTTTTCTTCTAGGTTTTTGCTGTAGGGTGTGTCTCTGCTCATGGAGACAAAGAGAGACAGTGAGAGGGAAAGTGAGAAATCACCCCCTTGCGGGATGACCACACCATAATACCCTTTTCCTCCATTCTCCTGGGATTTTAGGCACACATGCACATGCACCTGTCATGAATTTCAATCTGCCAGATCCAGGACTCAAACCACAGTTGGCCGTGTGGGAGTTCAGCACCTTAACCACTACACCACCTGTTGGCCCTGCGAAATCATTTCTTTTTAAATTATTATTTATTTAATTTTATGAATTAGTAGTAGTAGTAGTAGTGGTTTGTTCACTATAGTGCACATGCACTCACCAGAGGGAGGCGGCAGACAGAGAGAGAAGGAGAGAGAGAAGGAAAGTGGGAAAGCAAGCCACCAGGTCCGGCACTTAAATTGTGGCCGGCTGTGTGGGGGTCCAGTGCCTTAACCACCATGCCCTTCTTCCCGCCGCTCCCCCGTGAGATCATTTTAAACGTGCACAAAAGTTGCAAGAATTCATAGCTATCACCCACATCCGCCAGTTCAGTAACATTTTGTCATACTTGTTTCATTACTTGCTCTCATAGTACTTTTTTTAGAGAGAGATTTTTGTTATAGGGCGCATGCGCTCGCTGAAGAGATGGAGACAGAAAGCGAGAAATCACCCCCCAGAGGGGAC